AACAAAAACAAAAAACAACAACTAGAACTGGATCTTTTATTAGAAATAGGAAAGTTGAGGACTGGGTGGGGTGGCCCCTGCCTATAATTCTGTAATTCCACCCCTTTGGGAGGCCAAGGAGGAAGGATTGCTTGAGGGCAGGAATTTGAGACCAGCAAGGGCAACATGGCCAGATGCCATCCCTACAAAAAATAAAACACATTAGCCGGGCCTAGTGGCACTTCTGTGGTCCCAGCTACTCAGGAGGCTGAGGCAGGAGGATCACTTTAGCCCAGGAGTTCGAGTTGCAGTGAGCTATGATAGCTCCCCACTGCACTCCAGCCTGGGTGACAGAGCCAGACCCTGTCTCTGGAAAAAAAAAAAAAAGAAAGTTGGGAAAGACATTTGATGATGGTTATAATGGTTTGATAAAACTCAAGATGACGTGAAGTATCTAACCAATCTGTTGCCTAGGTTTAAATATACTCACAAGAGTGCCAGAAACTGTTACAGTTGCCACAAGGCAAAGTCTAACGATAGGTATTTGTCATTTAGCTCCATCTTCTCTGAAGGTAAACCTTGCCTATTAAATGGATAGGGTCTGTTGTTTGATATTGTTATTGATGCAGCTGTGAAACACATTTCCTGCTCCCTTTTGTACCTTCAGATCAGGCTACCCTGAGACAGCAAAGCAAACTGTTTAAAACTGCGTGAATCAACATTTTCTCTTTCTGTTCAATCAAGGAAAAGAAATAAGTCACGGATGAGATGATAAAACACAAAAAATATCAGGTTTATCTGTGATTTCAAATTTTTGTGTGGGTGAATATAGTGTTATAAAGTTAGCTTTAAAAATAAACTATATACAGTACATGACAACCAATATATGAACCCAAAAAAAAAAAAAAACTGCGTGAATCAACATTTTCTCTTTCTGTTCAATCAAGGAAAAGAAATAAGTCACGGATGAGATGATAAAACACAAAAATATCAGGTTTATCTGTGATTTCAAATTTTTGTGTGGATGAATATAGTGTTATAAAGTTAGCTTTAAAAATAAACTATATACAGTACATGACAACCAATATATGAACCTTAATTGGGTCCTAAAGCTAAACAACCAAAAAAAAAAAAAAAAAAGAAAAAGAGAGAGAAGAAAATAGAAGGTACATTTTTGGGACAATTGGGAAATTTTAATATGTACTCTATTTTAGATAACATTATTGAATTACTAATTGTATTAGTTTTCTTGTTGCTGTTGTAACAAATTACCACAAATGTAGTGGCTCAAAACAACGCGAATTTATTCTCCTACAGTTCTGGTGGTCAAAAGTATAAAATCAAAGTGTTGGTAGGGCTACATTCCTTCTGGAGGAAGAAGAACCTGTTTCTTGCCTTTTCAGCTTCTAGAAGCTACCTACAGTTTTTGGCTGATGGCCCCTTCCTGGCATCGCTCCAACCCTCTCGCTTCTGTTATGTCATCTCCTACTGCTACCTCTGGGTCCTCCTGCTTGCCTCTTCTAAGGACCCCGTGATTACCTTGTGCCCCCCCAGAGAATCCAGGATAATCTTCCCACGTCAAGATCCTTAATCACAATTGCAACACTCCTTTTACCGTGTAAGGCAACATATTCACAGGTTCCAGGGATTACGATGTGGACATATTTGGAGGCCATTCCCCAGACTACCACAATAATAACGCTGTAATTATGTAGGAGAATGTCTTTATTCTTTGTAGAAATATAATGTAAGAATTTGGTTGGATTATGATACCTGAAACTTTCAAATAGCTCAGCAAACAGAGAGAGGGAGTGAGAGGGAGAGAGAGAGAGAAAGCAAATGTGTCAAAATGTATGGTAGATAGGTATTATTATACCTATCTATTATTATTATACTGTTATTTCAGCTTTTTTGTAGCTGAATTTTTCAAAACAAAAACGGAGGAAATAAATATATATTAATAAAAATTCCATGTACTATACAGTAGCCCCCATTTATCTGCAACAGATATGTTCCTATACCCCCAGTGGATGCCTGAAACCTCGGATAGTACCGAAATCTATACGTATTATGTTTTTTCCCATACATACATACTGATGATAAAGTTTAATTTATAAATTAGGCATGGTAAGAGATTAATAATAACTAATAATAAAACAATTATAACAATATACTATAATAAAAGTTTTCTGAATGTGCTCTCCTTTTCTCAAAATATCTTATTGTACTGTACATAGGTAACTGAAATCGTGGAAAGCAGCAAAAGTGTGGATAAGTGGGACTACTGTATATGTTTTAGATATTTGTGTCATACTTAAGATTTAGTCTTTATTTTTATTAATTTATTTTTTTGAGACAGTCTCACTTGGTTGCCCAGGCTGGAGTGCAGTGGCGTGATCACAGCTCACTGCAACCTCCAACTCCCGGCTCAAAAGATCATCCTGCCTCAGCCTCAGGATTAGGTGGGACTACGGGCATGCACCACCACGCCCGGTTAATATTTCCATTTTTAGTAGAGATGGGGTCTCGCTCTGTTGCCCAGGCTGGTCTCAAACTCCTGGCCTTAAGTGATCCTCCTGCTTCAGCCTCCCAAAGTGCTGGGATTATAGGTGTCAACCACCACGACTGGGCAAGATTTAGTTTCTAAAAAGTCTGTTGTTTTTATTAAACTATGAGCACTTTAGACCAGTGGTTTTCAAATTTTTGGATTTTCCAATTATTAAAATTTCCAAAAATATTCTGAGATACTATTTTTTACCATCATTATACAAAAGAAAGGACATTTAATCACCAGATCTGGCTTTGGGGGGAAAAAAGGACATTTCAAGACTAAAAACAGTAAGAATGATCTCAGCATAAAGGACACCTCTCTAAAATAGAAAATCCATTTATTATTTTTATTTTTTATTTTTTAAAATCCAGGTTTGAGGACTGTAGGAAATCCATTTAGCATTATGGAAAATGTAACTATATTTCGTTAGCTTTTCTCTCATTGCTAGGTCCAAATGGAGGAAAGCTGAGGCTCAAATTCAGTTTGGGAAAGCTGAGCTGCCTTAAGCCAACAATATCAGGGCTGGTGATGCCCTCTTGTGGCTGCCTGGAGATTTACTGCCACTTATTTCCTGACTTGGAGGGACAATTCCCTTACAATACCTCCGTCATTGACTCATGCTTGCCAGGCGTTGTCCTAAGGGTTTGGGAATGTATCGGTAAATAAAAGGAATATCCCGGGGAGGGGAGGGCAAAAAAAGAAAAAAAAAAAGAGAAAGAAATATCCCAGCCCTAGCGGAGCTTACACTCAGGTGGAGAGACAGACAATAAATAAACGTAATAGATAAGGTAATGCTATGGAAAAAATAGCAGTGTCAGGGGGAGAGTGAGTATAGAGAGAGGTAGTGCGCATTGCAATTTAAAAGAGTGGCCCTTGGCTGGATATGGTGGCTCACACCTGTAATCCCAGCACTGTGGGAGGCGGAGGCAGGAGGATCACTTGAGGCCAGGAGTTTGAGACCAGCCTGGGCAACATAGGGAGACTTCCATCTCTACAAAAAATAATAAAATATTAGCCGGGCATGGAGGTGCATGCCTGTAGTCCCAGCTACTCGGGAGGCTGAGGCAGGAGGATCTCAAGCTGGAGAGGTTGAAGTTGCAGCGAGTGAGCTATGTTAGTGCCACTGCACTCCAATGCACTATGTTAGCTCTCATTGAGAAGGTGAAGTTTGTACAGAGAGCTGAAGGGAGATGAGGGAGTTAGCCATGTCCATAGATATGTGGAGTGAGGCTCCAGGCTGAATGAACAGCCAGTACAAAATCTCTAAGGCAACAGCTTGTTTGTCAATTTCAAGAGCCAGCAAGGGAGGCCAGTGTGAAGGAGAGAGAGAAGCAGAAGAGTTCAGAGGGGTAATGGGAGACCAGACCGCCTAGGGCGCTGTAGGCCATAGTAAGGGCTTCAGCTTTACTCAGTGAAATGGGGAGCCCTGAAGGATTTGAGCAGAGCGACAGAATCTGAAGTTTAAAAGGACGACACTGGCTGCTGTATTGAAAAGAAAGGGGGAGGTAAGAGTAGCATGGGAGAAAGATGATGGCGGCTCAGCCCAGGGTTCTAGCAATGCAGGTAGTGAGAGAAGGCTGGATTCTGGATGTATTTGGAAGGCAGGGTCAGCAGACAGAACAGCCATGGATGTTAAAGGGAGACATCAAGGAGCACTCCACTATTTTGTGCTGAGTTACAGGAAGGATGAGTTGCTATCAGGTGAATTGGGGAAGGTGGCACAGGATTAGAAATTCAGTTTTAGACAAAGTGAGGTGGAAATGGTTAGCTGGAAATAGAAATGTAGGAGTCACTGGCATATAAGTGGTATTTAAAGCTCTGAGATAGGATGAGTTCACCAGGGTGTAAAAGTATATGGAGAAGAGGCTCAAAGTCAGAATCCTGCCTTCACTCCAACTTGAAAGAGCTTGGATTGAAGAGAAGAAATCATCAAAAGTGAATGAGAAGAAGCAACCAGAGAGGCAGGAGAAAAACCAGGTGGGCTTGGTGTTCTGGAGGAGAGAGTACAGGGGCCATCAGAGAACTGAGGTGAGGCCCTTGAACCTTCCAGGGTATTGGTGACCCTTTCCTCTGGACCTGTTTGTTTGTTTTTATTTTTTTGAGAAGGGGTCTCATTGACCTCGAATTCCTGGGCCCAAGCCATCCTTGGCCTCAGCCTCCGGAATAGCTGGGACTACAGGCATGTACCACCATGCCTGGCTTGGACTTGCTTTTTAATTTGGTGAGCACAGGGACCCCGATCTATCATATAGCTCTCATTGATCTCCCTTTCCCCTCCACACACACAAAGAACAGATAGCTATCAAGACTGTTTATTGAGCCAGCAGCTCTCCCTTCCCCACTGGAAAGCCTAACCCCCAGCCTCCCACCTAGGGCCAAGTGGAGTCCCCTGATCCAACCCTAAGCTCCTTCCTTCTGCCAGGCTTCCCTGCCATACAGCCTTGGCCTTCCTGGTTTGCCTCAGGGGCTGTTACTCCTTGGATTTCACATCCTCCTGGTAGTGTGTGACGTAGGCCATCTCATCCGCACTATGAGGGCCAAAGGGAGAGCTCACATCGCTGCAGCTTCTGCTGTAGAGGTATAGTGCTGTGGGCAGGAACAGCGAGCATGAGCCGGGAGCTGGCTGTGTCTGCACCCCAGCTCCTCTCCTTCCTCACTCACCTTTGCTAAGGTTGACTTTGTTGGCCGCCAAGATGTCTGCCTGAATGCTGTCTATTTTCATGTACAAGTCCTCAGGGTTGCTCTGAGGACAGGAGCAAGGGAGACCGGGCTGGGATGTCAGGGCAATCTGGACTTGGAGTTGGGTGTGGACAGAGGAATGTTGGGGGGGGAGGGTGGGGAGGGGATAGGCTCCCAGCCAACCGAAAGGACAGGAAAGGGAAGAGGAAGACAGAGAGTGGGAGCCCAGGCCAGGGCAGTCCCTCCTGTAGCTGGTGGCCAGGCCCATTTTGTGCGTGTGGTGTGCACCAGGGCAGGGACCCTGATGCGGAGGGCCACCATACTGTCTGAGCGAACAGCTGCTTTTGCGGTGGGCTGGGGAGGGGGCACTTACAAGGAAGAGCTGGTAGAGTTCCTCCCCCATGGATCTGCGCACGTGCTCCTCCACCAGGGGGAACATCTGCACGAAGTACTGCGGGGGGGCGGGAGGGGCTGTGTGACTGTGCCTGCCACCCCACCCCCGCCCTGCTGCCCGCCGGGCCGCGGCCGCACCTCCAGCGTGAGGCTGGCCAGCCGCTGGCTGTTGCTATGGTCCGTGTTGCCCATGGTGGCCATCAGGCTGTGCACCACGCGCAGGTGCAGCAGCTCCTCCGCGATGCTCAAGTCTCTGCGCGCCAGGACCCTGCACCGGGGGTTCAGTCTATGGCGGCGCCTGGGGACTGTCCCGCTCCCGGGGCCCACGGGCAGTGCCAAGCCTGGCTGCTGCAGCCACCCACTACCCGCTGCCCGTTTACCCGATGGTCTTGGCGGCTGAAGCCTGCTGCAAGAACACAGGCAGGTGGGCGGTGAGCTGGAGAACCGAGGAGTCTGGGGGCGGGGAGCGGCAGTGAGGCAGGAGCCACCCCCTCCCTCTGCCCAGGCAGCCCCATGTGAGCAGGTCCCTACCACTGAGGATCTTGGCCTGCAGTTTGGAGGTCTCCTTGAGGGACGGTGTCAGCAGCGCCACCAGGCCCTTGAGCAGCGCCAGGCGCACATCGTCGTAGTTGACCAGGTCCTTGATCAGCTCGATGGCTGGGGGAAGGGCAGAGACGCAAGAGAGGCCTGAGGCCCCTTCCCCTCCAGGGAAGCTAACAGCCCCTTGAACCAAGTCACTTTCCTTCACCCTGTCCTCTTTGCTGACCCGTCCTAGCATCTTTTCTGCCCAGCACTGTGCAGGCGTAGGGGGAGCTGGGAAGGCGACACTTCCATTGAAGAGGAGGAGGGGGCAGCAGGGGGAGGAGGAGGAAGAGTTGGATGGTGAGCCCACGCATCGAGATGGCCCACAGATGTCAGAGATGGAGGCTGATACTTCCCCTTGAAGGAATCCAGGTTTCATGGCAGAGGGAAGGACTGAGTCTTTTTTTTAAATTTTTAAAATTTATTTATGTATCTATCTATCTATCTATTTATTTATTTAGACAGAGTCTCACTCTGTTGCCTGGACTAGAGTGCCGTGGCATCATCATAGCTCACAGCAACCTCAAACTCCTGGGCTCAAGCAGTTCTCCTGCCTCAGCCTCCCAAGTAGTTGTGACTACAGGCTCACACCATCACACCGGGCTACTTTTTTCTATTTTTAGTAGAGATGGGGGGTCTTGCTCTTGCTCAGCCTGGTCTCAAACTCCTGACCTCAAGTGATCCTCCTGCCTCAGCCTCCCACAGTGCTAGAGGACTGGGTCTTTAAAGGGAGACAGGGCCCAGTGTGGTGGCTGACTCCGGTAATTCCAGGGCTTTGGGAGGCCCGGGGCCGGCAGATCGCCAGGAGTTTGAGGCTACAGTGAGCTATGATGTCGCCACTGCACTCTAGACCTGGCAACAGACTCTGTCTCTAAATAAATAAAATAATGGCAGACAGGATGGAGAAAGAAGAGGGGTGCGAGGGAGACAGAGCACGTGGGTGGAGGATGTGTGGCAGGAAGTGTGAAGTGAGGAAGCCATGTAGGCAGCAGCTGAGAGAAGCTCTTTCTCACTAAGTGTGTGGAGCCCTTCTTGGCCGAGGCCCTGTGCTAAGTATCTCTCTGAGGCTCACTATAACCAAATGAGGTTAGCTTTCCCATTTTACATTTGCGGAAATGAGGCACAGAGGGGTGAAGCCCTTTACCTAAGGTACACAGCAAGGAAGTGGAGGAAACAAAGGAGGGAAAGATTTGGTTAGGAAGGAGGAGGGGACTGGAATTTATTGAGGGAATTTCCTGCAGGGCTTTTCTGTAGATAGTTTCTAGTCATTCGTTCATTCCAGTATTCACTCAGCCTTTCCAGGCATTTGAGTGCTTATCGTACTGTACTGGGTGTTGGGGAATTCATTTGTTCAACCAACTTTCCCTAAGCATGACTAATAGGCAGCGACAAAATATATATATATATATATATGTATGTGTGTGTGTGTGTATTTTTTTCCCTCCTCTTCCTCCTAAGCAGCAACAATATTGAAACCACTCTTACAAATTATTAAAAAGGGGTGCAAGGCAAGAACTGTGGTAAGGGTCTAGCTAAAAATAATGATAATAATTAGCCATTGGCTGGGCGCGGTGGCTCACGCCTGTAATCCTAGCACTCTGGGAGGCCAAGGCGGGCGGATCATTTGAGCTGAGGAGTTTGAAACCAGCCTGAGCAAGAGCGAGACCCCGTCTCTACTAACAGTAGAAAGAAATTAATCGGACAACTAAAAATATATAGAAAAAAATTAGCCGGGCATGGTGGCGCATGCCTGTAGTCCCAGCTACTCGGGAGGCTGAGGCAGGAGGATTGCTTGAGCCCAGGAGTTTGAGGTTGCTGTGAGCCAGGCTGACGCCACGGCACTCTAGCCCGGACAAAAGAGTGAGACTCTGTCTCAAAAAAAAAAAAAAAAAAAAATTAGCCACTGTCCCCCTATTTACTTCTCTAATTGCCACTCTGAAGCCACATAGCTGGTGGTCAAAAAGATTTTTAGCTTTCTCCATAGATAATATCACCTTTTTGAAACCTAGGGATAGTTTCTGAGATATCTTCCAGGTCTTGCATTCCAGTGGAAAGCCTGACCCACCCAGACCAGTGGCCCATACTGAGGAACTGACTCAACTAGTCTTGTGACCCCTCTCACCCAAGAACCTGGTCAGGAAAGAAGACAATTTCTACAATCCTATGGTTCTACTCCAAACCCAGCCAATTAACTGATTCAATTACCTACACCAAACTGTCTTTAAAAACCCTGTCTCCCAAATTCTTGGGGAGGCAGATGTAAGAAATTTCTCCTGTCTCCCCACCTAGCACTATGCAGAATAAACTCTTTCTCTTTCTCTGCGGTAAACCCTGCTGACTCAGCATATTGGCTTCCTCCTGGGCAGCAGGCAAATGACCTGGTTGGGCAGCAACAATATTGTGACAAACGCTATGAAAGAAGTCAGAAGAGGGGCTGTGGGAGCACCTGGGAAGATGGGGGAGGGCTATGTATATTTGTAAAGAAGAGAAAGGAGCCATATGGAGGCAGAGCTAGAAGGGGCAGGAGGAGGTGGTAAGGCAGTGGTATACTAGGGTAAATGCTACTCTGAACACGTGCTTGCTACATGGAAGATGGGACATGTGCTCTCCCCAGCTCAGGAATCAAGTGTCTATTTCTCTCTATTTACTCCCAGGGGAGACAGGATTTAGGGAAAATTCTTGGTCCTCTGCTTAGCTCATTTGCATCCCAGAATGCAATGCAGACACCAGAACTATTACCAGGATTATCTGTTTGAATAATGACAATTAACCTTTTATTTCCTCATCCGGAGATTTTTACCCAGTAAGATCATGTTTGGGACAATTCTCTACAGTGCAAGAAAAGCTTTTGTTGGTAGGTCCACAGGCACCACAAGTGTTGGGGGACCAGCCAATATGTGCAAAGCCAGGCACACCAACCACAAACATACTCCAGTTTCTCTTCAAAATAAAAAAATCTTTCACTTTTTATTAAAGATTTCTGTGGAAAGAAACAGTTATGAGTTCATAACCAAATTTTTTGAGGTCTTACTTAAGCAAGGCTAAGTATATGTTTTACAAAAAGCAAACTTTTGGCTGATTGGGTGGGATGCAAGCATGAGTAAAAACCGGCAAGTATGATCAGTGAGATTTTATTTTTCGCTTCTTTTTGAGATGTTTTCCAGGATAGAGTGCAGTGGTGTCAGCCTACCCCACAGTAATCTCAAACTCCTGGGCTTGAACCATCTTTCTGCCTTATCCTCTGAGTAGCTTGGACTATAGCTCCACCATGCCTAGCTGGCTTATTTTTTCTATTTTTAGTAGAGGTGGGGCTTGCTCTTGTTTAGGCTGGTCTTGAACTCCTGACTTCAAGACTTCAAGTGATCCTCCTTCTGCCTTGGTCTCCCAAAGCGTTGGGATTACAGGCGTGAGCCACTGCACCCAATCTCAGTTGTCTCTTTGATGATATCACTGTCTCATTCTTTTTTTTCTTCTCTTAGTGTCTATTAGACATTCTTACTCTATTCTCTAACCTCTATTCTATTTGTAATCATGTTGACAGTTTATGATAAATTCTGAATAGTTTCTTCTGTCCTCTCTTCCATATTACTAATTTTCTGTTCACCTGTGTCTTTTCTGCTGTTAAAACTGCCCATTAGCCTGGGCAACAGAGCAAGAGAGCAAGACCTTGTCTCTAAAAAAAAAAAAAAAAAAAAATAAAAAAACAAAAACCTTGATCAATGAAAGATTCTGCCCCTCAGTAATTACTTTTAGCTACTGCATTTTTAAGTTTGAGAAATTCTCTTTGGTTGTTTCTCAAATCTATTATGCCACTTTTTACAGCTTCCTGTTCCCTAAAGATATTCACAAGATTGTCTTTTGTTTTAAACTTAGTTTTTAATAGTCTGTATCTAATAATTCAGCTGAAGTTTTTGTGAGTCTGTTTCTAGTGTATGAGTTCCAGTTTATAGTGACTTCCTTGTGTGCATGGTTATCTTATACTTTAGGTTGGTCTTGTATTTGAAAAATTAATTGGAGGAAAAACTTGAGAGCTAGCATGAAGATACTTTCTTCCAGAGATAATTTTCATTTGTGTCTATCAGGCACTTGGGGCACTAACAATTCTAGATGACCTTTGTCCACATTCAAGACTTGAGGTTTCCTGGACCACCCAGGTGGTTGTGTAATCCATAGGGCTGGCTTATTTCTGGCTCACCCTCACTTTGAGGGCACTGTCTTCTGGGATCCCAGCTTAAAGTATTTATGCTAGAGTTTCAGACATCACACGTAGGGCAGGCTCTGGGTGCCTTCTCTCTCCTTTGCCTTTTTTTTGGAGACAGGGTCTCACTCTGTCATCCAGGCTAGAGTGCAGTGGCATCATCATAGCTCACTGCAACCTCAGGCTCCAGGGCTCAAGCGATCCTCCTGCCTTAGCCTCCCAAGTAGCTGGGACTACAGGTGTGTGCCACTATGCCCAGCTAATTTTTTCTATTTTTAGTAGAGATGGGGTCTTGCTCTTGCTTAGGCTGGTCTCCAACTCCTCAGCCCAAGCAATCCTCCTGCCTTGGCCTCCCAGAGTGCTAGGATTACAGGCGTGAGCCACCACACCTGGCCTCTCCTTTGCCTTTTGATGCTTCTTAGTTTCTTTGAGTGTTAGGCTTTTCTTTCTGGGTTCTCATCATTCCCTAGATTTGGGTCTGGTAATTCCTCACTGTACTGCTCTCCAATGCTATTAAGGAGATTACAATTTTTTTCTTCTAGATATTTTACTAGTTCCAGGAGGAAGACTGGTCCAAATTGCTGAGCCTACCATTGTCAGGAAGTCTTCTTCACCTGGCTGTTGCTATTCATTCTTCTAGACTCAGTTCAGAAATCAACTTTCAGGAAGCTCTCTGGCCCCTTCTCCCCCTGCCTCCACTCTCTACTCAGGAGCAGATGTTCTGTGTGTCTGACCCCACAGCGCTGTTCTCTTGCCGTAGAACACTAGTCCCATCTAGTAACAGTCCGTTTCTGCACTAGTGTATGAACTCCAGTGAACATATCTGACATCTCTGTTTACCCTGAGCCTCAAACCATTCCAGGCACACGATGCATGC